TTCTCCATCCTGTCTATGTTTATGAAAGGTTCTCACAAATATTAAAACTGGCGATCCTAGAAACATTTATTAAGATGCCCTAAACAGCCCTGGCCTGTGTGGCTCAATTGGTTGGGTGTCATCTTGTGCACTGAAAAGTTGCTGGTTCTATTCCCAGCCAGGGCATATGCCCAGGTTTCAGCCTTGATCCCTGGTAGGGGACATGTCTTTCTCTCCCTCTCTCTTCTGCTCTCTCTAAAAATTCAATTAAAAATATATATATTTTAAAAGATTCCTTAAACACTAAGCATTTTTGGGGGTGTTGTGGAGGGCAACAAAGGCATTTATTTATTTTTATTTTTTCTTAAATATCTTTTTATTGTTTTCAGAGAGGAAGAGAGAGACAGAAACATCAATGATGAGAGAGAATCCTTGATTGGCTACCTCCTGCATGCCCCCTACTGGGGATAAAGCCAGCAACCCGGGCATATGCCCTTGACTGGAATTGAACCTGGGGCCCTTCAGTCTGCAGGCCAATGCTCTCTCCACTGAGCCAAACCTTCTAGGTCTATTTATTCATTTAGTCAATTTTTACCCTTTCCCAAAATGATTTAAAATAGTTTATGACAAAAAGACATGCAAGAAGGAGGAGGAGAAGGAAGAAGGAAGATGCAAAGGAAGACCAGAAGGAGGAAAAGGAGAAGGAGAAACAACTGAGAACTAATTAGATGTAAGTAAAACTAGAAAATTGTGACCAGATAGAAGAATTACCCCAGGGGAACCGACATCCTGAAGTGGGATAATCTTGAAGGTAAATGTTAATTTCATCTCTGTTTATAAAACTGGCTCTTGCCTTCCAACAGCTTAAGATTAGACAAAGGGATGAAGACATGGACATAAGTGATTAAAGGGATTAAAGAAGAGCTGAAGCACCCTAAGGAACTGCAAGGGAACACTGTGCATGTAACTATGCCCCTTGGATGGTACAAGGACTGTGTTGTGAAAATGCCAATAGTTGTGTGAAAACTCCCAGGCCAATGCGATAACACATGCCTGTGAAAATAAGCTCTGATTCCATGAGAGTGCCTCCCAAAATGGACTGCAAAGGCAACAGCAGGCTGGACCAGCTAAGGGCATGGACTTTAAAGCCAGAAAGTGAGGCTTCACTCTCAGCCCTGCCACAAACTACCTGTCGACCTTGGCCAAGTTACCTACCCTTAATTCTTCCTCTGTAAAATGGAGATGGTAATCATACTGGACTGATAACATTGCTGTATGAGAGGAATTCAGTTAATATATATAATACAGTTAGTTCAATGCCTGAGACACAGCAACTGTTCTGACAGCACTAGAATATCCATGTGGGAGGGAGAGGGGGAAAAATCAAATCAGTTCCTTATCAACTTAATGCTGGAAATGTAACTTGACACTAAGTTAATAATTCCCTTTATGTGATGAATTTTAGTGTGAACATACTAGTTAGATGCATGTTTCCCATTCAGCCATTTACCCTCAGCTTGTAAAAGATTTTCAGGAAATTTTGAATCATGACACCAGGAAGGATCTGAGACATCAACTGCTGAATCCTTTATGTAGCTAAGACGGTCAAGGTCAGAGTGGGGGTCCAGGCCAGAGTGCTGGAGGAGGGAGTGGGACTGGCCAGTGCTCCATTACCAACAATGCTAGAATCCAGAGCAGACGCCTGATTCTTTCTTCTCTGCTCTTTCCACAAGGTGTTGGCTAGACTAGGACTGATTATTGACTACTCTTGACTTTCTCATCATCTCAAAGGCATTTCAATCTGTTAAGAATTTTTAGTTCAGTATTTATTGTGCTCTCCTATGGTAGGAACTGTGCAAGATGCGAGGGGCTAAGTGGTGAGCAGTAGGTCAGATGGCCATACTTCTGGAAACCACGCCATGGCAGGGGCTGCAGGCACTTATGAAAAGATCATAAAAAATGGATGCTGATTGCAGGTGTGTAAAAGCCTATAAAGTCTACATGATCTGAAGGACATATTTAATAGAGGAATTTGGCCCAGTCAGGAAAGGTTTCCCCAAGAGAATGACAGCTAAGCCTAAACATGGTCAAGGTTGAGGGAAGAAAAGATAAGGTTAGCACTCCAGACAGATAAATCAGCAAAAAACCTGTGGCTGGTGGGAGAACAGAGGGCCAGGCCACAGGAGCTGTGGAGGTGAGAAGAACAAATGCTCATAGGAGGAGATCAAAGAAGTAGTTCAGGGTCAGGGTTATGCAGGTCTTAAATATCAATAACAAAGAGTTTAGTTTCTATCTATACTAATAAAAGGATAATATGCAAATTGGTCAGGACACCCTCACAGTAACAACCGAAAGGCAGGCTGCGTGGGGTGACCAGGCTGGCAGGGCAGGGGGGGGCAGTGAGGGGTGACCGAGCCAGAAGTTGAGGGAGACAGGCACGCAGAGGGGGCAATTGAGGGTGACCAGGCCAGCAGATGGGGCAGTTAGGGGCGACCAGGCCAATGGGGGAAAGGGTGGGGGGGGGGCAGTGAAGGGTGACCAGGCTGGCAGAGGGGGGCAGTGAGTGGCAAACAGGCTAGTGGACATTCCCCAAGGGGTCCCGGATTGGCGAGGGTGCAGGCTGGACTAAGGGGACTGCACCCTCTTGAATTTGGTGCACCAGGCCTCTAGTATTAAAATAAATGGGAACCTATTGGAGGAGGTGGCATGGTCAAAATTTTCTTTTAGAAAGATTAGATTACCTTAGTGTGCTGATTAAAGGAGACAAAGTATAGACACTGGGAGGTCCCTTAAGGTAGTGCTCGTGGAAATGGAGCAGTGGAGATGGATTCAGGATATGTAGGTAGTAAAAGCAATAGGGCTCTGATAGATTAGACCAGTGGTCACCAAACTCATTAGTCAACAGAGCCAAATATCCACAGTACAACGATTGAAATTTCTTTTGAGAGCCAAATTTTTTAACTTAAACTTCTTCTAACGCCACTTCTTCAACATAGACTCGCCCAGACCGTGGTATTTTGTGGAAGAGCCACACTCAAGGAGCCAAAGAGCTGCATGTGGCTTGCGAGCTGCAGTTTGCTGACCATTGGACTAGACTAAAGGAACTGAAGGAGAGAAAATGGAAAGTATGATGTCATCACCAGTCTCTGGTTTGAGGAACTGGAAGACTGGGGACTGGAATGCTGGCAGAGAACTGGAGTTTAGGAGGGAGCAGAAGGAAGAGTGATACTAACCAGGAATCTAATTTGAGGTGAAAAATGTTTAAAACTTCAAAGCCATTTAGTTTAGGTTTTTCAATATTTTATTATGGCACACAGGATTGAGTATGGTACAGTGTTCTTATTTCAAGTAATTCTTAAGCCAACCAGCTGTTTCCATTTGCCTAAAGTTACTTTTTTACATGTAATTGCATCTCTCAGATTTACCATGTGCAGCATCCCATGTTTAATGAACATACATGTGAAAAGCTTAGTTTCTGAGGTGACTCCTAGTCTTTACAGAAGCCAGTATACTGAGAATCTTCATGGGTTCACATCCATAGCATCATGGCAGATAGGGCAATATATCCTACTTATTTAAGTGGCAACATGTATGTAACTAGAAGCAGGTAATCGAAGGGATCAGATAACTTTAAAAGGAGACCACTTTGCTTTCAGGTTAAATTCATTACTTCTAAAATTTGTCTAAAGAACAAATATTCAACATAGTTGGCTGACAAAGCAATTGTGTAAGAACAGCAGCAAAAGAGCAGATACTCAATAATTTTGTCAACATTCCACATCAAGTGCAAATGCAAGAGCTTTCATCACTTTGCAGCAGACGGAGGACAAGTGGGGTGTGTATGTGATGGAGTATCCAACCAGTTAGAGCTATCATTGAAATGGTGACTCATAACAATTTCATTATCTGTATCTGTAGTTTTTTAAGTTTTAAAATGGGTGGCATTAAATGCTATTTACTTGAGGCAACAAAATTAAGCTAGCAACACACTGAATCATGAGTTCGGGATTGCAGGCAACGTTTGCAATAATATCAAAATAACTTTTGATATTCTTATTCTCTGTCCAAATTTATACATTAATTTTTTTTAAATTACTCCTTTTTATTCTATTATTTACTTTGTTTTTCAACCTCTTCCCATGACATTTGGACTATTTATTTTAATGTGGTTATAATGATGGACAGGCAAGAGTCATATTCTCTCTAAATTGCATTTTTATTATATAGTATTGTTTAAGTTACCTGTTTACCATAAACAGTATTCTTATCACATAACTTCAGAATTGCCTCCAAGAAAGTCATTCCCAACATTATATAGTATATTTTATGGGGGCAAAAGTAGATTGCTATTGATAAAAGAAAAAGAATCCCAAAGACACCTATTTGTTCAAGTTCATTATCCATACAAATTTTGAGGGAAGAGATTTCACGAATGATTATGACCTAACTCTATCTCTCAGAATGACCAATTAAAGGGCAAAAATACATTTTGACTTAAAAAATGGAGGTCAATAGTCTACTTATATATGACGCATATTGATGCCTTCTGTAAAGTAGTTTAATTAAGTCAATGATCACAGCAAAAAATGTCATTCAGTGTAACTTTATTTACTGTTTATTGCACATGATTTGAGGTCTTTTAATTTCTAACCACCAAAGATTCAAAGACCTATTTTTCCATGAAGTTTAACATTAGTATCAGTGAATTGATGTATTCATGTGTTTTTATTGTAAACATCTGAATTATTCACATTGCCATAGATCCTGAACTCATAAGCGTGGACCATGCACAGGCTGGCAGCAAGCCAGGAAGCCACTCTGCAAGCAAACAGATACTCTGCATAAGGAGAAAAGTCATAGCACAACATTTAATGTCCAACCTGAGTCACCTCAGAAGGTTACATATATTGACTTCTTAATTCATATAGTATCGGGAACTCAACTGCTTGGGTGGTGATGGGGGTGACCTGGTTTCGGGAGGATTATTCCTGAAATGATTAAGGAAAGGGAGGGGGAGAGGTTCAATCTTTCTTCTTGGTTGCTTGCTCCTCCCCAGCACCTTCATCTTTCTTCTCGTCCTCGGCTTCTTGGGCACCTTCTCCTTCACCTTCACCTTCACCTCCTTCTTCCTCCTTTGCGTCCTCAAATTCTTCCTTGGCACCTTGAACATTAAGAAAAGTACAAATTCCAAATCCAGGGTAAAGTCCAGGCCAAATATAGCTGCTCAGGTATTAGGGGAAATCATAAATGTCAGAATGCTTCCCAACAACCTCTCGGCTCTACTCTCCCAAAATAAGGGGAGCTGACAGTGCCTGCCAGGAATGCTTTGTCCCTGAACACATATTGAAATAGAGTGAGATTGCTTCTAGGTACTGGAAGATCTCCAGGACTTTGGTATTTCTCTTATTATTGTGCTTAGTATTTAGTTTTGTTCTTTAGGACACGGAACTGCTGTGGTCAATGAACATATTTTCAAATGTTTAGTAGGAATGATGAGACCAGGAAGAGGCTATTTCTAAATGTTATTTTCAAAAAACAAAACAAAACAAAAAAAAACGACCAAGCTAAGCAGAGCTGTGTATGTCTGGGAAGTTAGCCATTTTGAGAAATCAGGTGCTTATTAAAGGATAAATGTATCATTTAACATCCTAAACTCATATATGAATGGAACTTCCTTGGAATAAGCAAGGCTTCATTTATCTTATTCATTTCCTAACAAATACCCACGCTCAGTTTCCACTTGAAGTTGTACAGTTGTGTTTTTTTTTTTTTAATCATACCTTCTTCCTCTTCCTCTCCTTCCTCTTCCTCAGCCTCTTCCTTCTCCTTCTCCTCCTCTTCAGCTTCTCCTTCAGAGGGGGGTTCATCCTTAGCTTCCTCAGCTTTTGCAGCCTCGATGGTCTCCTCCACCTCGATCTGCTCCTCCTGGACATGGCTGGTGTAGTAAGAAGGGAAGGAGCGAGCGGACATCAAGTAGGAGCTGGTCTGTAAACCACCATAGGCGGACCGGCCGAAGACCTGGGAACTCTGGGAGTAGCCGCTGGCTATGCTTCCCACGCTGGTGAAACTGAGCCGGGTCTCCTCACCTTCCAAGAGTTTCCTACGGAGACAGGAGCAGGATGGGGTTAACACACATGAACACAGCAGATGTGCTGAGCAGCTTGCTCATCCCCTTTGGGTAATGCCACACCCTTAGAGGCACATGCAAGCAGGAGCAGGCATGGAAATTTCTAAACCTAATACCTGGAGATGTTGTGAAAGAGACCAGAACAAAAATAACAACACGCATCTTCAACATCTTTTAAAATAGTCCTATTAGATTTAGAATATAATGGGAAGCTGGAAACAGGATTCATTCCTACAGGGATAAATTCTTATATACTTGTCTAATACCTTTTTTGGAAAAAGCCAAAAAGCAAACCATTATCTCAAGGACTGTTCTTGAAGGTTTCTGATGCAGCATAAATGGAATAGGGTTTCCTTGCTGAGGCTGAATGGCCGTGGCCTTTGTGCCTCAGGGTTTACCTGTAAGCGGCAATCTCGATGTCCAAAGCCATCTTCACGTTGAGGAGGTCCTGGTATTCTTTTAAGTAGCGTGCCATCTCACTCTTTGTAGTTCTCAGCTCATTTTCTAGTTTGTTGATTGTGTCCTGTTGGAAGACAAAAAAAGAAAGGAAATCCAAGCATACCTCCCCACCACTTTCAAACTTGTAGCATAGCTGCAAAGGCCTGAGTTTAATTAGACTCAAAGTGCACATCCTAAGAAAAATCTTCCCTAACTCAACTGCCTTTTCTGTTTAACCTTTCCTTCCTTGAAAAAAAAAAAAAAAATCAGCTTCATGAAACTTGAGATGATAACAACAACAAATTTTTTAAATGATGGAAAACAACTTCTTTGTTTTCTTTAATTATGTCTATGATAATCACAAAATGCCTTCAGGAACTAAGCCAATTTTTTTAAACTTTGTCTCTCATTCAGTGATTAACTTTATCCAGGTCACATTCAAGAAATACACTTATTTATAGAGAAAGAAATAGGTTGATAAAAAAAATTATTTTATCTAAAAAAATTTAAAAAAAAAAAAAAAAGGTCTTACTGTGACTATCATTTCCTATTACAGTTTTGAGTATTCCTATCTACCTGCTCAGTTAAGTTAAAGGAGGGGTGGGTAAAACTAATCAGAAGCATGCTGGTTGGTCACAGGTATTTGTCAAATCAAATGGCCCAGTCCTCCATGCAGAGCAACTTGTGGCTAAGGCAGGACAATAGAGAGGCAGGCCAGAGGCAACGCCCAGCCGCCACCCCCACTCCGTCTCCCACCCCACCCAGCATCCTGCTTTAATGCGCAACTTTGATTCCATTGCACCAAGCACAACTTCCCTACGCAGAGTCGCCCCCGCCCCCGCCCCCGCCCCCGCCCTCCAAAGGTCCCACCCCTCCCAGGCAGCCCGAGAACTCAAGCCCTATGCCCCCAACACTGCATGGAGAGGCCTCATCTCTGCTCTCCACTTTGGGGGCGCGCCCTTCCCTTCCCTCCCCCTCCCCCAGGCCCCCATCCTCGCGTTCTGCCCAGCGCCATACCTGCATGGCACTGATGTCGGCATTCTGCTTATCCTCCAGCTCCTGCAGCTGCTTCTCCAGCGCCTCGTTCATGCCCCGGCACGCTTCGATCTCCAGGGTCTTGGCCTTGAGCAGGCGGCGGCTCTCGGACACCTCGTCCTTGGCGGCGCGCACGGCGTCGGTGTTCTTGGCGGCGCTCTCGGTGAGCACGGTGAAGCGGCTCTTGAACCACTCCTCGGCGTTCTGCATGTTCCTGGCGGCCAGCTTCTCATACTGCGCGCGGATGTCCTTGAGCGCGGCCGAGAGGTCGGGCTTGGAGGACACGTCCATCTCCACGGAGATCTGCGCGTACTGGATCTGCGCCTGCAGCTCGGCGATCTCCTCGTCGTGCACCTTCTTCAGGAAGGCGATCTCGTCCATCAGGCTGTCGATGCGCTTCTCCAGCTCGGCGCGGGCCAGCGCCGCCTCGTCCGCCCCCTTGCGCGCCTCCATCAGCCGGCCCTCGGCGTCCTCGCGGCTCAGCACCTCCTCCTCGTAGCGCGCCTGCAGGCCGCGCAGCGTCTCCTCCAGCCCCTCGCGCTCGCCCTGCAGCGCCTGCTTCTCGTTCGTGGCGTCCTCGGCCGCCAGGCGCAGGTCGCGGATCTCCTGCTCGTACAGCGCCCGGAAGCGCGACGGCTCCGAGTGCTTCTGCCGCAGCACCAGCAGCTCGGCCTCCAGCACCTTGTTCTGCTGCTCCAGCTCGTGCACGCGCTCGATGAAGCTGGCGAAGCGGTCGTTGAGGTCCTGCAGCTGCGCCTTCTCCTGCGTGCGGATGGACTTGAGGTCGTTGCTGATGGCGGCCACCTGGCTCAGGTCGAGGCTCTCCAGGCTGTGCAGCAGGGAGCCCGAGCTGGATGAGTAGCTGCGGCGCACGGACAGCGAGGACGCGGGCGCCGAGTAGCTGGAGTACGCGGAGCGCGCCGAGCTGTAGCCGCTGCGCACGCCGGACAGGTGCACCCGCGGCGCCTCCACGTAGCGCCGCTTGTAGGAGGCCGAGTAATACGGCTCGTAGCTGAAGGAGCTCATCGCGGCGGCCGGGCGGTCGGTCGGCAGAGACGGGGTTCCTGCGGAGAGAGAAGAGCGGGGGAGGGAGGGTGGAAGGGAGGGTGGATGGCTGTGTGCGGCTCGGCACAGTCCGGCCACCCCTATTTATACGCCCGGAGGATTCTGACGCAGCCGCGATCGATCCAGCGCCGCCCTGGGGGAGGGAGGAGGGGAGGGGAGGACAGCGCGGGTGGATGCTGCAGCCGGGCGGATTCTGCGCAAAAGGAAGGCGGGGGCGAGCGCTGGGGTGCGGCGCGTCCTCTCCCACTTTTCTCCCAGGCCTCGTGTTTTCTCTGAGACCCCCACACCTCCTCACTCACTTCCTTTTCCTTCCCCCATCCCATCCCAGCCCATTTCTCCTTTGATCTCGATCCCCTAGATTCTAAGGTGTCCCCAATAACAAGTTCTCCTCCCTTCCTGCGGTCCAGATCTCGGTACCTCCTCGGACACATCCTCTCCCCCCAACTCGCCCCCTCCCCACGGGGGGCCTCGGTGATCGTCCCCCGTGGTGCACATGGTGACAAGGCGGTGCCTCTAGGGCCCCGGACATACAAGGGATCGCCTGAGGCTGCAGGTCTGCGGCAAGTATGGAGGAAAGTTTTCTCTTTGCAGCGGCTTCGGGCACTTGCTTTAATGTATCTCGCTTTCTCCTGGTTGTTTTTTCTTGGACGCGCTGCTTACACTCATTAAAACTGCGGTGGCACTGCAGGTGTTGGCCTGAGCATGTCTAAGCCTTTCGTTCATATCAGCCTTTCAGTGTTTCTAGATGTTTCTCACGTCTTTCTGGGGAATGAAGCCTCCATTGCATGAAGTCTCGAGGTGAGAGGCGGCCGAGAAGGGTTTGCAACTAACCGGGGTGCAAACTGACTGCAAAGGCAGCCGTGAGCCCTCAGCGCGTCCTTCCCACTGTAAACGCAGCCTGACTCTAAATTCCTGCTTGGCATTCACAACCCCGTCACGTTAAAGCCCATTTCCCTCTTTTTACACCTGTGTGGCACCCAACCTGATGATTACAACCCGCCGTGCAGGTGGCTGGCTGGGAGGGGAGCGGCTGCTGCCAGCCCGGAGCCCTAGGGAGAACTCAGCTCGGAGAGGTCTCCTTCTTGGGCGGACAGAAAACAGCTGCATAACTCTTCCCCGATTCACTCACATAAACAGGGAACAGACACAGTCAGGAATCCATGGGATCCCTTTAAGAAACACCCAGGAACCTGAAATGGTACGCCCTGCACCGTGACACTGCCCTGCAGCCTGCAGAGCATATTACACTCGCTTTCAGAGAGGATCTCAGGCGTTTGCATAGGACACCTAATATTTTTCTCAGCAAGCGTTTCATTTTTATTTTATTTGTGCAAGAGTGGCATTGGATGTGCAACTTACTGTTGTTGTTGCTGCTGCTGCTGCTGCTTTAAGAGGCAAACTAAGGGGAAATATTGTAACGGTTTTCAAATACAGAAGCCAGAAGCTTCCGGGTGATGCTGAGAAGGTGAGGTGCTTGCAGCCAACACCACAGTTGCCTGGAGGTACTTACTGTACTGCTTTCCCCGCAGGACAGGAGCAGTGGGTGAGACTTCACCTCTGCATCTCTAAAAAACCCGTGATTCCCGTGCCTCACCCTCTCTTTGGCAGAGGGAAAGACTGCAGCAGAGAACAGTGGGAAGGAGAGTGGGGTGTTCTCTGCTGTCTCAAATAATGCAACTTTCAAAAGAACTTTACTGGCTTATATCTATCAAGAGATCCATCCAAACTCAATCATCTTAGGCCTTAGAATCTAGGGTGTCAGGCCTCTGCCATGCGATTGTCCTGAATTTCACTGGGCCCTGGCAGACAAGCGAGGGCACTTATCCTGATGATTTTTTTTATAGCCTACTTGTCCTTGGTCTCCCATTCATCAGTGATTCAACAGTGGGAAAGCCTTCTAGGGGGGAGGATGAGGAAGGTGGGAGGGAACCTAAATAAGCCCTCTTTTTGTCTCTCCCAATTACTTATATGAGGATAAACGTGCAGGATGGATTTTTTAAAAACCTGCTGTGTGTGTGTGTGTGTGTGTGTGTGTGTGTGTGTGTGTGCCTGCACCACACTTAGATATTCATGAATTCATTTCCTTTGTGCCAGCTGTCTTCCTTCCGAGTTTCAGGTCACCCTCAGAGATCTTAAGTCCATCAGCGATTTTTTGGTTTTTTTGGCCAGGACTCTGGTTGAAGCCTCTGACTGCAGAGAAGGCTTCCCAGGAAGAGGGAGGGCTGGTGGCTGCTGCAGGGGCGGTGGACGCTGCAGAGAAAGAAACTGTAGGGCACCTGCTGCCATTCTTCGGGCAGCTGAAAAGGGAAGCAAGCACTCGGGAGTGAGGAAGAGTAGGAATAAGGGCTCAGAGTCTTGGCTTTTCAGAACCTGGTGAGCAGGGCGTGGGGAGAGGGGCAGGTGGCCTGTGCTTAGGAGTGTAGATCTCTGATTCATTCTGGGTGTGTGTGTTTTTAAAATGCTCCTGGCATAGCCACTTCATCCTCCACCCCAGCCTTGCTTTAAAAGGGCTCCGGAACCCCTCCAGTGTCTGTGTTGGTGACTCTACCTTCAGCCGGCCTGCCAGGCGCCTGCCACTTTTAAATATATTCTGTCCAGTCATCCTCCCTTTTAAATCCCTTTGAACAGTTGTGCTCTGCATGCCCACGTGGCGTTGATTGTGTGTGTCAAAGCAAAGTTAAAAGGAACAACTTTTTTTAAATCTTGACTTTTCTCCCACCTAACCATAAATGTTTTTGCGTTAGTGTTGTTTGCAGCAGTGTCGCTATTTCTTTAGAAGGCGTTTGGGTGTTGGTTCACACTTATGCATTTGTTCTCCTGTAAGCATATTCTTTACAACATGAAATTGTTTGAGGGCTGTTGAAAACCCATATTCCTAGAAGATAAAAAAATTATTTAGAAAAGAAATACAGAAGTATGTTGATGTAAAGTAAACATTTCTCCCATACTAGTTATCCCTGATATTTCTATAATCCCCTGATATCTCTATACTCCCATAAGGGACTGTTTGAGGTCGTTTAGTTTACAAGTCAATATATTAACATCATCACAAAGTCTATACAATTTAACTCTTACAACCACTGAAAAAAATAATGTATCTTCTTCTCCAGTGGCAAGAGTCAGGAACCTTCTGGATGGGACCTGGTGGCTTTTCATTATTCTAAAATGCTTTGGCACAGCAGGGAGTTCTGCATTGGCCTTAGCTTTGAAAAGCTCCACTTCAAGGAGAAAGTCTTAGTCTTATGAGCCAGGCCTCCCAAAAAGCATTCATCCAAAGAACAGGGGAGCAAAGTTCTGCCCCCAGAGAGCTGTGGGAACAGTCCTAGCCCCGAGCAGCAGATGGGTCTCCATTCAACCCACCATCAGGTGGACACATCAGTGTCAGCAAAGCTGGTTTCAGGGTGTGGGTGCAAGGAGGAATGAAGGATATAAGCATGTGCAGGACACCTATCCTAGGACGGGCACTTGATTTCTACCGTTTGATGATTACAAAGTCCCCGTGATGGTTTTTATCCTGAGCAAGCAGCTGAGGCCCAGAAAGGTTAGGGAATTTGCCAACTCACATAGCTACTTCAAACCTAAGCTCTGCCTGCTTCCAGCCTGGGAGTATCCCATGGACTACCCAAGCTGCAGCCACTGGCATCAGCTGCTTCCATGTGTGTCTGTGGCATCGATACCTGCATGCCACGGTCTGCAGAGTCTGCGGTGTGAGTAGCAAACCTCGCGAATTTGGGGGACCCTGATATGATCTGATAGGAATTTATTCCCAGAGGAAATTGTTGATGAGCATGTTAGATTTGGACACTAATGGTGGCAATGGACTGCATATGTGCACATCTCTGAACTGTCCCCAAGGAAAATAAAAGGATCCTCCCAGAGAAACCTGACACGGAGCTGGTGATGTCAATTTTTAAACATTACTCTAAATGTCAGGTTCGCCAAACACCCTTTCTAGAATTAGTGACCTAAAATGCAACTTAGCTGGTCTAAACTCTTTCAAGTAACTACACCATGACTCCCACCTTTGTTTTTCCTAACTAAAATACCTTCATTTTCCACTCTTACAAATAGGTTTTCTTTGGAAAAGTGACCTTAAAATTGTCATAAAGCCAAAACTGGTTTGGCTCAGTGGATAGAGCTTTGGCCTGCGGACTGAAAAATCCCAGGTTCAATTCCGGTCAGGGGCATGTACCTTGGTTGCGGGCACATCCCAGTAGGAGGTGTGCAGGAGGCAGCTGATCTATGTTTCTCTCCCATCAATGTTTCTGACTTTCTATCCCTCTCCCTTCCTCTTTGTGAAAGCTCAATAATATATATATATTTTTTTAATTGTCATAAAAAATAGAAGGAAATATACTGGCACTCACCATCCCATTATTGGAGTTTATCGTGCTTTCTACAAATCTTTAACTCTTTAAAAAGAACCCTGAGTAAAATCAGCAGGAAGTGTATAGTGTGTGGAAGCCACAAATATATTTCCTCTCTGTTTCTTGTAACCAGCTTATTATTTCTTTGTATAGTATCCTCACCATAGGAATCATCATCACGCATGAATCTGTCATCCCTTGGTGATATGTTTGAAAGAAAACTTCCCCATGATGATATAAGTATGCCTGATTTTACAGCAGCACCTTGTGAAATAATGCCCCAGAAAGTGTGCTATGCGGCTACATAAAACTCAGATTGCAGCAGGAGGGAGAATGCCATGGAATAGGTTAACACGGAAAGGCACATTCCTATTCAGGACACGTGCAGTATCAAAAAGGACCAGACTCGCCGCTGTCCAAGCAGAAATGATGTTGGCAGGTTCAACCCCCTAAATGCCTGCTACTCGGAACTGGACACGGTAATGTCACTTTCCCCTGAGGCCTGCTCCCCAGTGCCTGGCCCTTCATCCCAGTCACGGGACCAGGCACAGAGGTAGGAGAGTGTGCTAGGGACACTGAAGGGCTCAATTTGCA